CTGGCCATCGCACTGTTTAAACAACAATCTAATTAATCCTGTCTTTATTAGTTTCAGTGAACTGGGGAGGCAGGCTGGGAGGGCGTGAGGGAGAACTGGGAATGCTGGCAGAAAATGCTTGGTAGGGAGGGGGAGGAAACCAAGTGCGAAAGCAGGGATTTGAGAGGAATTTAATGGCAGAGACTTAGGCCCTGTGAATGGAAATGGGGATGTGAAGAGATGATGAGGCAGGAGACATATTGAAGGGTTATAACATCTCACAGGAGGAGAGACGGAGGGACAAAAGGAAAAAAGTGGTCATGGGGAAAAGCAATGGACCTGAGAAAGACTCTGTATTAAGCTTTATGTATAGAGTTAAATAACTACCTTAAGATTGTGTGTGGGATATGGATAGACTGGAGTTTACCCGATCAAACAGATGTCCACATTTAAGGGACAGGCTGCTCTCCTTTCATAAGCTTACTACTGCCACCTACTGTTATGAGGAAGAAAAGAAAAGGCAATCTAAAGATGCACAGTGTTCCTCTCAGCAGATGTTCACCTTGTTGCTCTGTGAATTGGGTAATGTTTATGTGACCTTTAATTAAGAGACTATGCTAATCTCCAGGATCGTTTAATATGAGGGTAAAATGTATCAGAGCTTGTTGCCTGTGCCTCCATCTTTAATTACCTCACCTCTCTTTTTCTGTACTCCTGAACTCCCTGAATGCCATGCTTTGCAGTTTATTTATCCTTCTCATATAAGCCCATATTTGTGTCTTTTTGTGCACTTTCAGGTTGTTTGTAAGGAAGTGCAGCGCTTGCCTGCAGGTGATTGGACGTTCGGAGCTGATAATGCGTGTGCTAGGCCAGGTGTACCACCTTGGCTGCTTCACCTGCTGTGAGTGTGAACGCCGGCTGCAGAGAGGTGATGAGTTTGTGCTGAAAGAAGGCCAGCTGCTCTGCCGCATGGACTATGAGAAGGAGAGAGAAATGCTGGCTGCTATTAGTCCCACACCTACTGACTCAGGTAAAGGAGGTTCTTTACAAAGCTGCTTTGCCTGGACCCCATTTAAAATATTTTTCTCAAGTCTCAAGCTGCTCCTCTGTTCACTTACTAGTAAAATAATTCTGTAAATGAACTGGATCTCAAACAGAAGCCTATCTGAGTTGGTGAGACAACACATTTGCTTGCAAAAACATCACACCACAATAGCAAATTGTCTTAGATAGAAAATAAGTCATTATTTTACAGTGCATTCTGTGAATTCCTATGGTATATGAAGCTGAGCCTTCAGTGCACTACCTACAAAACTAGTGGATAGTTTAAGAAATCCACAGAATTGAGGTCAAAGTCACTTCAATGTTAAATTGACTCTCCATTTAATGGAATGAGAAAATGTACCCCTCTCGTACCAGATGTCCTGACTGTTTTGTTGTCTGTTACCTTGCTCAGTGAAAAGTGAGGATGAGGATGGTGGAGGAGGCTCTGGAGGAGGGAAAGGTGGTGACGACAGCAAGGACCACAAGCGTTCAAAGCGACCACGCACTATCTTGACCACACAGCAGCGGCGTGCTTTCAAGGCCTCCTTTGAAGTGTCTGCTAAGCCTTGCCGCAAGGTAGGAGGACCAGCTTGTTTTATCAATGGAAATGTGTGCAGGAATATACTCCTTTCCCATGCAAACGTTATTGTTCTGTGGAAGATTGCATACTAATCAGTCTAAACTGGTGTTTCAATAACAATTAAAAACTAATCTGCAGGTGAGGGAGACACTGGCTGCCGAGACTGGGCTGACAGTGCGTGTTGTGCAGGTGTGGTTTCAAAACCAGAGAGCCAAGGTTAGACTTAGTATAGACTTACACAAGGTTATACATTTTCTGAGGACAAAGAAAAGCATTTATACATACACTGTTGTTGTGCCTTAGATGAAAAAGATAGCTCGCAGACAGCAGCAACAGCAGCAGCAGCAGCAGGAACAAGAGCAGCTGGGAGGAACCAGGAGAGGACCAAGTAGAGGGGGCCGCCAGAGCAATGACGACAGTGAGGGTAAGCGCTTGATATGCCAATGCAATATCGAGAAAAAAGGAAGAATACACAAAAACCAAAACAATCTATTTAATGGGTTGATTAAAGTGATTCTCACCTCTGCACAGATGGCTCTAGTACCCATGGCATGGATGGGATGCTGGTATATCCCTCTCTGCCACGTCAGCAGCTACTCGCTCTGGATCCCAACATCTACGGTGGAGAGCCATTTAGACATGGCCTCACACCGCCTCAGCTGAACAATGAACAGCTCCACTCCTATGGTAAGACTAAAGGTCAAAGCTTTAACTCCATACAAACCTTATCTAAAAATTCAAATGCTGTCCCTATCTCCTTTCAATTCTGGTTTTGACTGTCATGGGTGTAACAATACATGCCAATATTCTCAATGCAAAGTTAAAAGATTGATGCATATAATCTTTAAGATACACATTTATTTTGAAATTCACATGGCACGTCACTATTTATTTCCAAGACGTTTAAGTCTGACTAATTGTGTAAAATGTTGTATTGTTGTCCAAAGATGCATGCATATAAAAGTGTACCGTGATGAAACCTGTGATTTACCCAGCTAGTCATGAGTAGTCAAAACCGCACTTCAAGGTCATTTTGTCTGAGTAGTTACAGTAAATGTCAGCCTATTTTGAAAGCTTGTATGGAGCCTTAGCAAAACAGATGCATTGCCAAATATTTTCTTCATTATTTCCTTAGATAATGTGCAGTGGGAGATAGTGAGGCAAAATGTAATATTGGACTCAAATGAGTTGCATTAGCTGATGGGTGATTGAACAGATTTTGCAGGATTTCAGTTGTAAAGGTTGTGTGTTTGTGAGAATGTAAGGAAAAGGCTGAGAGTAAACCACAGAGACTGACTCACTGCCTGCTTGCTTTGTGGAGTTGAGAGTAAAACTTTTCATATCGTTCTGTGCTCTCTGGTAGTAATTGAAAACCGATTCACTTCAGCTGTTCACACAATTTTTCTCCGCAGACTCAGAGACAGTGTTCCATGACCTGGACAGCGATGGAAGCCTTGGTCACCTTGGAGACTGCCTCTTGGCAACAGGGGACGGCAGTCTCCTGTCTGGACGGGTGGGAAACCCCATTGACCGCCTCTACTCCATGCAGAACTCCTACTTCACCTCCTGACCCCCATAAACTCTCACCCTTCCCACTCCTGTTCCACCTTCACCTCAGAGATGCAGCTAATGGAGTCTGTCTAAAACATGCCTGTGGGACTACAGCCTACACCCAAACACACTCTTAAGCTTTTTTCAAAGGCCACAATCATCACAAGCCAGGCATAGTCATAATATCACTTGAAGAAGATTTGCGTTATGTTCCAACCATCTTTCCTTGATAATAATCACATGCTGGAAATACACTGTAAATGTCCAAAATATGTAAAAAGACCTCAATTTCTCTGGTTGTGGTAATGTTCAATGAAACACGTTTCATGGCACTTTCAAAAAACAAATACGCATACTCATATGTAAATTCTGATTTACAGACAAAAATTGGTTTAATTCAAATGACATGTATGTAGGAGTCTTGGCAGGCCGTATGAGCAGCTGAGAGTCTTAATGAAATGATGACATTGCAAAATGTTTTATGTTTCTGACAGGATTATTGTGTGTGAAAGACTGCAGCGTATACAGTACAGTATATGGATTGGAGTATCATTTTGCTCTCAGGTTAGTGTGTATGAATATTCGACCTGAGCTATAACTCAGGATATTGTGCTAGATAGGATTACAATTTAGTTTTCCCAGTAAATTCAAGGATGTACTTTGGAACGAGGACGAAACTCTATGAAAATGGTAATTTCCAAATCCATGCTTAGTTTTTGATATTGCATGAGAGGTATAATATGGACCAAAAAAAAAAAGACAGCACTACAGGGTCATTTGAGGAGCCTTATGCGGAAACAGGGTTGTATACATGATTATTGCTTTAGCTTTCTCTTTTATAATGTAATCACTCAGAGGCAGTGACGTTATTGACAACCAACACATCTATAATCCCCAAAAGTAAGGACACTGAGCACATGATGATGTGCTTTTAAATGTAAATGGAAGTATGACTGTGTTACAATTAATTATTGTGGTCAGTTTCAGTAATCATTTCTTTCTCAGAAAAATTAGACGTTGTTAGGTTGATATTTTGTACCTTATTCTGTGATAATCAGCAACTATTTAAACTGTAGCATGATATCTATGTGTCACAAAGTAGGTCTAAAAAAATAGCCTCCAAACTGAAGTTGGATAGAAAGTGCATAAAGCATCAGGGTCAAATTTACAATGTGTTGCAGAAAAAAATAGGATTAGGGTTATACTTGTTTTTGTTTAGGTGCCAGTGATCGGCTACAGCTCGTTAACATTTTTTCATGTTTGACTCTGATCACTGACACGTGGTATTTTTACAGTGATATTTTTGTGAATGTAATTTATTTGTGCGGTATTAGGCAAGTTCCTATCTAACTTTTTTTGTTCAGTGACTGCCAGGTGATGTGCTTTGAATGTAATGTTGCCGTATCTTCAATACACTCTACGGTTTCATCTTTGTAGTGCACTTGCCTTATTGTCCTAAGTATGATAAATTATGATGCACTAATGACTTGCTCATCTGGTACAAACCAAAGATATTTAACACACAAGAAAGGAATCCTTTTCCCCTCCCCTTCAAAGCTTTAATAATTGAACCAGAAAAGGTCTGTTCTGCTTAGTGGTCACAGGGCTCATAACTCAATATCCTCCCTCTGTCTCTCTCAGTAGTCCCGCTGATTAGAAAAGGAAAGTCTCCTCCTTCTCCTTTCTTCCCAGACTCCCTATTTCTCTGTCATTGTGTAGTCAGGACAGTTTGTGTGGGAGCGATACATTCCGGTTTAATATTTGACTCAGACTCAGACCTGGAGAGGGCAAGTGTGGGAGGGACAGACCTGAGCAACAGACAACAACAAAGGATAACCACACCGGATAAGAAACACAAGTTAATTTTAATGAGATTATTAAATAAAAATCATATATCCCGCATGTAGGCAGGAATAAATGTTAATTTCATATGAACACAACATTTACATGAGTATGAGAAAAAGGACGATCTGGTAATTAAATATTCGACACATTTTCTTAGTCAAAGTACTGTTGCATTTCTCTCATATCTTTCCTGAAGAAAGACAAATAGTCACATTAAGTCACACAGAGGTAAACAGATATCCTTACTTTCACTGTAAATACAGTACAGTAACATGGCTGGGAAATGTGTAAAACCAACCAATCTGAATCTGACAGAGATGGGAGATGTCTTGATGCTACGATGGCTGAGGGTACCGGATCTGTAGATGAAAAGAAGAAAACATTTACTGGTATGTTGACTTTTAAAGTGATACCACTCAAAGATGGTGTAGAACATATCATACCATTTTGTATACATATGATAACCCATGGGTCTGTTTGAATGTGTTTTTGTATCAGACAAAAACGCACAGAACAAGACCTTAAGGAATACTTCCAAATACTATTTGGATAATCCATTAATTAAACCTTGATGTTCTCACATAACTCCAGGGTGAAGAAAAAATTCAAACGCGGATAAAACAGCCACTGTAAAACTAACGTCCATGTACAACAAAAACATTGTTTTGAATACTAAGGTTTTGGCACAAATGCATTGCTAAATGAGACAAGTATTGTGCAGCTGTTGTGTGAGATTCTTCATTCACCGTGGAGGAATGCGAGAAAAACAACGTTTTCTTCAACAATCCAAGGTAACAGTTAAAGGTGGGGTAGGTAATTTTGGAGAAACCAGCTCGAGTGCGCTAGAATTTGAAGATACACTGCCGGAAAAAATCTGCCACTTCCTTACAGAGCCCTCCTCCAACACATACGAACGCGCACATGACCAATGAGGGCACGAGATAAGTTTGTGCACAGATGGAAGGCTGACAGGCAGGTAGGCCATCCAGTTATTTTAGCCGGGCCGGCTAAAATGATTGGTCGTGCTTTTTACAGTACTACGGCTTCCACAGATGACATTTTTTAATGGATTTTTTTGTCAAATCACTTAAGATATTCATTGCTATCGGGATGTTAAGAGCATTCCATGGAATATAACAAAAAGTGTATCTCGAGCCGGTTTCTCAAACTTACCTACCCCACCTTTAATAGATTAAAACATGTTAATTTAGGGGGTAAGGTATTCCTTGAACATCTGCAAGTCTGAAAACACAGCAGGCACAAACCATTCAGGGTGATAGGAAAAAAAAGCAAGGTGAGGAGGCATAGTAATCTGCACATTACTCTCCTAGTTTTAAAAGATTCTATTCACAACTGTTCATATGTGACCTTGAGTTGTGTATGGCCAATTCCAAAGGGACTTACCCACTCCACTGATGTCTACTGACTCTGCACAGGCCAGAAAGCGAGCTACATGAGGCGAGCAGGAGGCAGGTGTGTCCGGGTTTTCTCTCAGGCAGCGCTCAAACTCGACAAACACCCCGGAACACTCTTGTCTGATCTTCTGAATCACTGGGCTATAGAAACACATAAGAGAAATTAGGAATAAGATACAATTTTGCTTTTTAGATGTGGGTGTGAGGTTGAAGAACATTGGAGTGAATGTACAGATATGTGACCTTACTGGGATGATGTGCACTGTGCAACGTTTATCTTCAGTTCATGACACTTTGACTGCCATGTAGATGGGTTGGAGGCCACACATGACCCATATGCCTCCATTTCTTTATTGCAATACTTTGCAGTGATATCCATAGCAGCCTGCCTGAAAGACGACACATGTTAATCATTCAGTGATTGTCGACACGTGCCATAAGCCATCGATCAACCTGATACACTTTCTAAAGCAAGCACAAGCAATATAGTAAACGTAATTAAGTAGCTATATGGTGGTAGAAAATGTAATTATTTACGGTCTGAATCTATCTCTCTATAGTACAGTACCTACTTCCCTAGACTAGAGAACATAGCGAATGTTTTGTTGATATGACCCATGTTTAAAAGTCTTACATGTTGTTCTTTTTAGGCTTTCCTCAACCGAGAAGCTGATGAATCAAGGTTATAGCACCAGCAGTACTGCATGTGGAGCCATGTCTGTTCCGTAACGACACTATACACACCCTCTGATTGGATGGAAATGCAACAATCGGAAATAGTTCTAAAATCTTATTGGTTCCTGCTTGTGTCAATCTCAAATGTTAGCCCACCCCCTTTGATGACGATGCATTTATTAAAGTGGTATACACCTAATATTACACTAAAAGCACTCCACGACGAATACAGCTGATATTTGATATATGTATATTATTACGTAGCGTAAACTTGAACCTTAACCACATTTTTTTTACCGTGTTGGTATAATAAATGAGTGTTTTTTTCCAGTTCATTTGTGATGTACTCAGACAATCTTACGTGTCTTTGCGTGTTGACGTATGCGGAAGCTACGGCCAGAAACCGAGCGATTCAGTAAACGGGCTCCGAAGGCTGGACCGAGCACCGCTCCGTGTGTTGAATCGTATTTTACCGACAACAGCACGACGGGGTGGTGGTGGATGATAGAGGGGGGGCAGAGGTGTGAGTAAAGTACAATGAACGACCCCAAGAAAGAGGGAAATATGGCTGCAGATGGGATCCAGACACCGGGAGAGCTGCAAATGGCCCCCTCTGAGAACCACAGCCAGCATGACAGCAGCACCGGCGACGAGCTGGTGAGCTCGGTGACGCTGTACCGGCGCAGGCCCCGTCTACTACACGGCACAGTCCTCCCGTTTCTGGCTGTTCTCTATCCAAGCTGGATGTACGTGTGGTTCGGAGTGTATGGAGCCTCCGAGTATCCAGAGGCAGGCCTCCTGTCGCTAGCCGCTATCGGGATCGCGCACGTCCTCACAGCGCTCTCTGGTTATTGGTCCGTGCACGCGCACTGCTTGCTCACTTGTTCCAAGGTAAACATTATTTATACAACAATAATAGTGGGGTATGTTTCAATGGTATCCACTGTTTTTAACATATCCATTTAACATAGAATTCAAAGGTTTTCAGGGTTAGCACTAATTCAGGAATCATTGCTTGCTCAAGGGCTCTATAAAAGTAGGCAGGTGTTAGGAATGGACCCCTGCTAAATGTTTGAGGGGCCACCAATAATCAAACTTTCCCTGCTGGAATCAGCAATGACAGTTCTCACTGCCACTTTTGTCTTTGTTTCAAGTTATGAAAAGGTCTTAGTGATTTGTGCACATCACCCATGGTTGTTTTTTATTTGAAACACTTTTATTTTTGTAATTAAAACAATTTTTTCAAAGTAAAAGCTTGCCAATACAGAGAACAGCATAAATGAAAACACATGTTACAGACAAAACAGAAAAGTAGACAAAACTAAAAGCAACTCAGAGTCAAGCATGTAAGTGTATTAACCAGGAAAGGAATGGGCCTCTTATATTAATTTGGTTTAAAGCCATTTTGCAATATTTTCCATTTTTTACAATTCGGTATGAGCATTTGTCACCTGAAAGCATAAAGAAGCCCTGAAAGCTCATAGAGTGTTGCCCGGCTATTTTCTGCGTAATTGATGCAAACGATGCGAGGCAGCAGACCATGAAATGCCTTTAAGTAGTAGAGGATTATAAATAAAATAAAACTTGTATCAAGCAAATCTAATGCCTAATTGCTGATTCATACATATGGTGGTGTCAAAGTAAAACAAATCTGTGTCTATCATTGTATGGTAATAGGAAATGTAATTCCAGAATATGTCAGAAAATAAATGTTCTAAAGTTTAAGTTTGTTTTTCCTAAATTCAAGGGTAATTAGCTTAGCATTTCTTTGCGTTCTGTCTGTAGGCAGTTGTGTAAGAGAGGCTAAATCATACAAATACATAAAAATTGATTTGTATCAACAATGTAATCAGGTTAGCCTAGACATTTATTGTTGTTAAATGTAAGTAGAGGATTCTTTAAAAATGGACCTGAAGTTCATATTATGGACAAAGCAGCAGAGGCACACAGCAAAAATAACAGTGACCCGGAACAGTGTGTGAATTTGTCACCTGTTTATTTGCACAGGAACAAGATCCAAAAAAGGCTACGCTGGCTAAGGTCGTTCCCTGCCCCAACAACGGTTCTGCCGAGCTTGTGGCACTACAGAGGGACCAGGTCAGTTTACATATTTACTCTTTATTCCAAACGTCTCCCAAATCTATTGTTCTCTGTATTTTTTGTCACACACTTTAAGATTAAAACTTCTAAATATACAATCAGTAATTACAATAATTAAGCTTTCTTGATTAAATGGTGCTAATTAAAATGGTCTTTCTTTTTCTGACCTACAGGATGAAAATGACGAGGAGATTTTATCTTTTGAGTTTCAAAAGATCCGCTACATATTTGACCACAAAGAAAAGAAATGTTTTCTTCCGATAGCATTCCCCATAGACAACCCAATGGGTGACTTTCAGTCCTGGCGTGGCTACCAGGAGGAGGCGGAGCTCCGGGCGGCAGAAAAGCGTTTCGGCACCAATAGTGCTGAGATGATGGTGCCAGATTTCCTGGAGCTCTTCAAAGAGAGGGCCACAGCCCCCTTTTTTGTTTTCCAGGTATATATATTTTGTTGTAAAAATACTTCTCAATAAATATCTTTAGATATGATGTGACCTTATAATGAAGTCTGTATCCATTTGAAGTAATCTGTTTCCTGCCATCCCCCAGGTGTTCTGTGTTGGCCTGTGGTGTCTGGATGAGTATTGGTACTACAGTGTTTTCACGCTGTTCATGCTCGTGGCGTTCGAGGCCTCTTTGGTCCAGCAGCAAATGAGGAATATGTCCGAGATTCGCCGCATGGGAAACAAGCCCTACATGATCCAGGTAGGCTAAATCACGTTTAAAACCATATCCTTATATTTAATAAAACAAAAAGTATAGACAAACAGTGTCTTCCATGTAAAGCATAACTCATTTATCTTCATGTATTTTATGCTAGGTATATCGCAATAGGAAGTGGAGACCTATTTCAAGTGATGAGCTTGTCCCTGGTGACATTGTCTCAATAGGTAATGTCCTATTAACATTTGTCAGACTTCTTGCCACAAACATCAGATTGACTCTGTTACTGAGGGTTTAAAATGTGTATTCTCCACTACACAGGACGTTCGCCCCAGGACAACTTGGTCCCGTGTGATGTGCTGCTACTCAGGGGCCGTTGCATTGTGGATGAGGCGATGCTGACCGGAGAGTCGGTGCCCCAGATGAAGGTTAGAGGCAAACTAATATATACATGATGACACTGTACAGATCTGAGGGCGTACACTTTGGAATGAAAGCCTTATTCGCTCTAAATGGCATGTCTTAATCTTACTGTGGGGTATTGTAATCACTGCTGTGTTATGGGGTGTGCAGGAGCCAGTGGAGGACTTGGACCCAGAGCGAATCTTGGATGTTGAGAGTGACTCTCGACTTCACATCATCTCTGGGGGGACAAAAGTGGTCCAACATAGCCCCCCTTTAAAGGCCAGTGCTGGACTCAAACGTAATTACTCATTTCTGTCTTTTTTCAGTTATCTGTTACCAACAACATATGAAGGCTGTTGTAAATTATAATGCGACTATTGCCCATCTTCTTCATAATCAAATCAAGATGAAAAGCCCATTAATCTTCTTTATGTGCAGCTGTCGACAACGGCTGTGTGGCCTATGTACTGAGAACAGGATTCTACACCTCTCAGGTAAGGAAGTTGCTGAATGTTTTACTTACTACGCTCAGTTTTTTATTTCAATGCATTGTTCTAGTTTGGCTACATGTTTAATTTAGCTTTGAAAGTGTACTAACTGTGTGCAAAAAAAACTTGCCTCCAGGGTAAACTGTTGCGAACAATCCTCTTTGGTGTGAAAAGAGTGACGGCAAACAACATGGAGACTTTCATCTTCATCCTCTTCCTCCTTGTGTTTGCCATTGCTGCAGCTCTTTATGTGTGGTTAGAAGGTGAGATGCATAGAACCAATTTTATACAATGTAATTCTTATTGAACACAGACATTCAAAGTGTTTGCAAATAGCCGGAGGTTATGGCATATTTAATATTTAAAAACTCTCTTTTTCCTTTGTATCACACCTGCAGGGACCAAGGATGCTAGCAGGAACCGCTACAAGCTGTTTTTGGAGTGCACACTAATCCTTACTTCAGTTGTTCCACCAGAGCTCCCCATAGAGCTCTCTTTGGCAGTTAATACGTCTCTCATCGCCCTGGCTAAACTGTGTATGTCTGTTTGCTCCTATCCTGCATGTGTTAAAGAGCAATTAAAAGACCTGGACAAAGCAGCTTATAATACAAAGCAGCTTATAATACAAAGCTTGTTACAGCAGTAGTTTGATTCAAATCCTCTTGTCCCCTTCTTAGATGTTTTCTGTACAGAGCCCTTCAGGATACCCTTTGCAGGGAAGGTGGAGATCTGCTGTTTTGACAAAACAGGAACACTGACCAGTGACAGCCTGGTGGTACGAGGAGTAGCAGGCCTCAGGTAAAACATGCCAACCACTGTTGTTCCTTCATCAAAACTTGTGAATTACAAACGCAGTAAACTATGCTATGGTTAAGGTTTGTAAATACTTTGTGTTTGTAAATGAGTAATAACTTTGTGTCTATTACAGAGAAGGAAAAGAGGTGATTCCCGTATCTGAGATTCCAATTGAGACGCATCGGGTGGTGGCCACCTGTCACTCACTGGTCACTCTGGATGATGGACAGCTGGTCGGAGATCCACTGGAGAAGGCCATGCTGACAGCCGCTGACTGGAGCCTCACTAAAGGTACTAGGATCCCCCACTAAACGCACAGTGCACGGCAGCGACTGTTGTGTCGGAGAACATGTGTGTGCTTAGGATTGGATTGTGTTGTGCTCTGTCGAACCGCTATGCTGTGTTTAACTTGGTGATGTAATTTGACCAGAGTATCTTAACGTCAAGTTACGTTTTTAATAAGTAAAAACAAGTCTTGATTGATCAAAGTGAATGGGGGTCGTGTTTAACAACAGCTTGACTATATGAAAATATGTGTTTTACAAAGTCTTACAAAACTGTAACAGTGTGAGTAATTGATATGAAACTGCTCAGCTTGTGGGTTAATGTGGCTTTAAAGTGAAGCTGTTCTTGCATTTAAATCTGGATGTTCGTGTTAAGTTACCTTTGCTCTTAATAGCACTATGCGTGTCTCATTTACTCTTGCCATTTAAACAGATGAGAAGGTGTTCTCTCGGGGTTTCAAAACTCAGGGACTTAAGATCCACCAGCGTTTCCACTTTGCCAGTGCACTGAAGAGGATGTCAGTCCTGGCCTCTTATGAGAAACTCGGCTCCACTGAACTCTGCTACATCTCAACTGTCAAGGGAGCGCCAGAGACACTCAGAGGAATGGTAAATATCCTTAATACAGACATGCTCTAGTCTAATCATGTGTGCTAACCAACTGGCGTTCTAATGTGGCTTTTATTGTAGTTTTCAGAAAGTCCAGCAAATTATGACGAAGTCCACAAGGAAATGTCTCGTGAAGGGGCTCGAGTGCTGGCCTTGGGTTACAAAGAGATTGGACACCTCAGTCATCAGCA